AAAAAATTCATATGTTACTGGGCAAACTTGAGCTGTTTTTTTTCATTTGGGTGTCTAAACATGGTTCACTCGTGGGAGTATTTTCAGTTCGTCTAGACCTGAGCAAAAGTGAGATTTTTTCATTGAATTACCCGTCGAGGGGTAATTCAACAACAAAATCTCAATATTATTACTGATTATGTATTCTGCCGATTGTTTGCAGATGACTTGTGAGATATTAATAAATAATTGCTTAGCTCATCACATAGAACCACTCTCCGGAATTGAAGTGTAAGTAAAGATAATTTAACCCATATGAGAACTATTGATGTATGAGGTGGATATATTGAAGTATCGTGGTGCTAAAAGATCTGAAGATAAATATCCCTTAGTTGGTTGATAGCACTGGTATCATTTAGGTCAAAATGTGTGTTTTATGCGAACAGCATGTGAGGAAGCTGGATCTTTCAGTCGTTGACATACATAGATCCAGATGTCATGTTCTACACGTTGCACACTATGATCTGTCCTAATGCTGTGAGCTTATATGGCTGCGGGTCATCAAAACATGACTGATGCGATACTAACAGTCAATAGCCATCTGATCTCATAGATGAGCTGGGATGTAAAGAATATGGAATGAGTTCAAATGTTTAGAAAAAATGTAGAAAACTCGTCATATGTAAGACATCGTTGTTTTTTTTNTTTTTTTTCAGATCAGACGTATTATCTATAAGACGTGCAAATAGAGTTATCTTCTCGCCAACAAGAACTAACAATAAGAATAAAATCGCTTCAAGAAGTTAAAATTCTTATACCAGAACCCACATGCATATTTCTTAAACTTTATATTAAACACTTCAATTGTAAGATTCATCACCAGCTGAATTTTCATAAGATTTCTTGAATGCATTGTATAAAAACAGTACGAAGTGGTTTACTTGAAACTTTATTCAAAATTCAAATGAATGATAATAAATGCAATTCATTCAATACATATCGATTCATCAATCGCTTCGAATACAATAGAACAAAAAATGAAAAGCGAAATTCAGAAAGAAATGATGGAACAAGTGGAACATAACACGGAATATGAATATGAAATAAAATCAAACCAAGAAGGCAATTTCTACACTAAAAACAACTGTTTTAGAAATGAGGTCACAGCGATCATGGATCTTACATTGAGGAGGATATATGCCTGAATTCATTTTCGTCATGATATTCGATATCTATCATTGTTTACTACATTAAACACCCACTCATACATCCCTACAAGATGTAATAATACACAAATTCCTTTGTATACTATATTACAATGATCACGATGGAGTAAAGCAGCCGAGACTTTAATGGACCATCACAAAAATTGTACAATTAAATAACATTTGGCTGTTAGCTGCCCCAAACAACAACAAACATCTCAAATTCTACTGAATTAATCAGCACTGACTCAATGTAATGGGTATCCACAGATCTGTTGATTTTCATAATGTGAAAACGGCAGTATTGTCATGAAATAAAGCTTCAAATATAGGTACACATCATGAGAAAGATCAGCACTAATCATGGAATGTAGTGAAATAAAAGTGACTTTAAATAAACAATTTTTAAAAAATGCTTAAGAACAACGAACAATGCTACAAATAAAATGAAAGTACTAATAATAATACATATCATTCATTATACAATCAATGACGGTCGAATATTGCATGAAACATAAAGCGAGTGAATAAATTCAAGGCTGATATCATATAATAAGAACTGTTCATTGCACTTCACAACTTCGCTCTCCAACTGATGAGCAAACAATTCGATAAAGTGATTACTTTCTCATGGGCACAATATAAAGTGAACCTTTGCTTCTTATTTCACAAATCATTTTCAACGCTCGAAGGCACGGTATTCCACATTTGTTCCAGGACAACCGTAACTTCGACAATAAATGACTCCGGAATTCGGAGTCCTTGATAAACACTCGATTTTCCAGTCCATCAATGCTGCTCTACAATGAAGATCCGTTGGGAAGTAAAATGAAAATGTAACGGATTTCATTCCGATTAACAAAATGTTCACTAAATAAATCAGCAAATATATTATAGAAGGTTTTACTTATATTGCTAATGATACTGGATTGGTAATAGGAAATGGTATGGCTCACATCTCTTTAATTTTGCGGCATAATTTATCGAAACTCTTCGGAAACGTATTCTTCCTCCATCAACAAAATCGATCGACAACTCATAACTCAACTTTTTTTCCTAGCCAGTCACACCGATGAATCTCATATGTTTGTTCCTTGTGTCAGTAAATAAAATTAAATATCCGTAAATAAAATTGAATGAAACGATTTTAAAAATTACTTGACTTTTCCATTCGAAAACCAATTCACGTTCATCCTGGCGCAGTTGATGTTGCGGTCGTTTGATGAGAGCCAATTTGTTGCAAATTGCCTTATTCAAAGCTTCAACCATCTGCAAAAAAATTGCTTCACAAAAAAATTATTACTTCATTATTACCATTATTACTTCGCGACGAAATCAGTAAAGTTGTTGGAATACTTTTCACTCACTTCTAATCTTCAGATTTTCAACAACCTGTTTTCACTTTATTCATCTAAAATCATTTTTCCAAAGAACAAATTTAGATTAAAAAAACTCAACAAATTTTTTCACCTCATTCAATGAACCCAGATCCAAACGTCCTCGTGTTGTCGGCGTAATCTGTGAAAACTCCTCTTGGCTGATCAATGGCAACGGTATGAAACCCTGGAATAATTCCTTCATACTGTCCTTGGTAGTGCGATAAAATGAAATCTTCGAAACGCAGTTCCTTGAAAATTCACGAAAAAATGCAATTCGCAAAGGCAAAGAGACCGAAAGCTTATTTCATTCAGCCCTTCAACGAGTCATATAAGATTTCGCGAATACAACAACGAAATGATCGCATCAAAAATGAATTTTCAAGAGTAAATCCAAGAAGCGAATAGCACTCACCTCAGTGAGACTATTACTACGTGAGCGAACACTATCACGAACATTCTTCGATGCAGCCGATGAAGAGGTTTGCTTGGAATCCTCTTTCGGATTTCCTTTTTTCTTGTTTCGATTACGAGGATTTTCCGGCTTCTTGAATTCGCCTTCCTTTTCCTTCGTGTTTTCAGCATCCGCATCCGCATCGTCTTGTGGTCTACTTGACAAATCAATTCCGTACTTCTGCAAATGCGCACTATTCATTAGAGAGGATTCACCTCAAAATAACATCACTTAAATTCTATTCTCACTGAACCCCAAAAATGAGAAATCACTCAGGCAGTTTCATGAAACTTTCAGCATATTTCCATATCCACGAACTACACTTCACTTAAGTAATGGAACATATGAATTCAGAACTTATGCAAAAGTCGACAGGATTTTGAGAGGTACACGAATGATAATCATGGCGTATGATTGAAAAGTTATATACATGACGGAAGACCAGGGAATTTCTTACTTGAAGGAAGGCGACTTCTTCGGAATCATTAGAATCCTGCACTGCGTCAAGGTCAGCCTCAGCTTGCTTCACTTCATCGTAGACGTGACTCAATCGTTCGAGGGCGTTTAGCAAACATTCCGTCCCTGAAAACAAACGTAACAGATTGAAAATTTGAAATAATAATTGCTCAATCCCGCGATCACACAAAAAACTTTGCCATCTCAACTAAAAATGAACGTAATCTCCAATGTGAGTCCAAACGCAATCGACAACCTCAAACCTAGACACTGAGTAGATTCAGTCACGAGGCCACATCAATTACATCATAACCCCTAACCGAATCCAGTTGGAATGAACCTCAAAAAGCAAACATTCAAATTTTCAGATTCGTTGCTGAAGCATCGCACAGCAAGTTGAGTGAAATTCACAATGCAAATGATAAACATTCAAACAGGAAACATGATATCGAACCACTATCGATGGTCGCATCACTTGCACCGTTATTTCTGGCAGCTTGCACTAAACGATCCATCCGAGCTTGACTCACCTTAAGCAATTCATTGGCCACCGAATCGACCATCTCCATAAAATCGTTCATAAAATCTGCGTAAACGTTTAACGTAACATTCGAAGATTCTCTACAGATGTCTTATATCTAATAAGCACGATTGAAGTGTTCACGTTAAATTACCGACAAGCTTACAGAATCGACTTATGAATTCTCGCAAACTTTTTAAAAATGAGAAGTCAAATTATATTACAGAAAGGGAATAAACCAAATCCTTTTCATGGAAAAATTAACGCAATTAAATTTGCACTTTCTGTAACTTTTGGAAACTCACGTCAGTTAGAAATCGTGACCAGATGTTAAACAACAATCAAACTATTAGCATAGAGGGAAACCTTCAAATATTAAATTCTTCAAAACATTATTTCTTTGACATTTTACAAGCATTCAAAATATTCTCATGAGAAGCTGAAATACTTCGCGCCGGATAAACCGGTCGTGATCTGCCAAATCACTCGCTTCGATTAAATTATGTGGAAAAGTGAGCGCAATTGAATTTGAATGCTTAAGAACTCAACACAGTGCAGATTTCTCGGAGAATTGTGAATGAGAGCGAATGAGTGATGTGGATGAAGTGAATGAGAAAATGAACAATATGTAATTGAAATGTAATGCATTGTGCAATGTAAGGAATGAGAGTGGTGAGACATCGTGTGAATTTGATATAAAAATCATGCATGGACTACTACAGGAAAGTTGTTTACAGAAGTAAGTAAAGCATGCATGCCTCGTGAATAGCTATTTCGACGTGAAGCCATTCACCTGCACTCTGTTCATTCCAAACAGTCTCTTTCCAGTCTTTATAACTGATAACAACGATGTCTCATCACTCTCGACTCTCATTTCGCTGATTGCATTGCAATCCCGTTATGTCGCAATGCTATTCTCATTCACTTCAGATGCATCATTGATTCACTCTCATGCATGTTCCTCTGAACAAGCTTCATTCTATTCGTTTCCTTACACCGTAATTTCACTGAAATTGAATTTCCAGTGGAAATGATGAGTGCAAAACGAATTGCCACAATACCACACGATTTCTGAAAGATAATAGATTTACATCTCATATCTTATGCGATGAGCACAATGGACATCTGAAGTCACATCTAAAGATTTTCAAATGTTTGGGTTGTGACGTACATAATCTAACGAATCAGAGATATTGCTCACAATCAGAAAGACGATGTGAAAACTTCGAGGTTACTGAAGAGTTTTGATGGCACAGATCTGAAATCTATGGTTATTAAGACGGTGCTTAGACGTATCAAACAGTGATTTTTATGCGAGTTTATCTCTCTTGAAGCGGAAATCGTTCACCCACAACGCATACATTTTCTCACATTTCCTGAAGGTCTGACACGTCGGATTATCACGATGCTGACAAGATCACTGTATACAGATCATCTGAACATGACATGTGTAATATGCCGAGTTGCTGATATTCCGATTATATGGAGTAAGGTGTGAGCTTTATATGAGAGTGCATCTGAAGAAATGCAAGCTTCCGTCCCACATCATATATATTTTTCTTAAACTAGAAGTCATGTTCTCTAAGACTGGCACATGGAATTATCATGGTGCTGAGAAGATATGAGTATGTGCAACATTACATACGCAATACGTGAAGTTGCTATTTAGTCTGATCATATGGCTTAACGTGTGAGTTTTATAGCAGACTGTATCAGAAGAACTTTAAGCCTCGTCTTACATCACGTACACTTTTCATAATGTAATCATTAGAAGCAAAAAGTTGATGGGTAAAGAGAATTAAGAACTAATTCAATGAATTGTTAGAGTCTTTTCGAATCAACAGTTTACTGCATCAAAGTTAAAAACTAGTCAGTAACCCCATTCAATATCGTAAGCAAATAATATGAAACCATCAGAACAAGACGGTGATTATGATGGAACATGGCGGAAAATTGGGTTGATTACGGAACTCTCAACACTCGGCAACCCCCATGCGAATCTGGGGTTTCGTAGTTCCCTTACCCGGAGAATGTGTGGCATCTGAGTAGAATTCAGCAAACAAATTTCTTGAAAATTTTGCTCCTAATGCCGTTGATGACTTAATGACCACTAACGGTGGCAACTACCATCAGAAACTTAACTAGACCATGGGAAGTACAAATTATCTTCGAGCATACTTGCTCGGCAGCGTTCACTTCAACGCAATGTATCTACCTCTATAGATCAATACGTACATTATCAATACCTACTAGGCTAGAGATTTTGGACTGTTTTCAGAGCACATGACCACTGAGTACTGATGATCTTGAAGAGTATTCCAAACTACTCACATACTCCAAACTGTAAAGGTTTTCAGAAATTGTAACGCTATAAAACAAAGGCAAATGTGCTACTTTAAAAATGTCCTGGATTTGTTGAAGTTGCTATCAACTGCAAAAGACTAACGCTCCCGGGTGGGCTTGAACCACCAACCTTTCGGTTAACAGCCGAACGCGCTAGCCGATTGCGCCACGGAAGCTGCTGATAAGCTGTTCCAAATGATCGCTTTTATCATTTTCATATCATCAAATTCCTCAGGCTCTCTACATTCAGAAAAGCATATGCATTGTCACGCAATTTTGCTTTCCTTCAGACAAGCACCCCATTTTCCGGAGGTATTTCGTTTACTTGGCAGCGCTCATTTCAATGCACTGATCTCTATTGATCAATATATTCATTAGCCCAGCTGTATGAGGGTCACCATCTCCAGATTAACCATATCCTCAGGTTTGCCCACTAACATGGCAATTTCTTCACATCATTAAATTTCCCAGATTCTCTACTTTCAGAAATGTATATNTCTTCAGATTCTCTACTTTCAGAAATGCATATATGTTATCGGGCGATTTTGCTTACTTTTAGAGAAACAGCCGATTTTCTGAAGGTATCTGAGTTAATCGGCAGCGCTCACTTCATTACAGTGTATCTACCTCTATGGATCGAGATGCACTTTAGCTTAACAGTATCAGGGTCCTATCTTCAAATTAACGGTACTCTCAGGTTTGCTCAGTAACATGGTCCTTTCTTCAAATTATCGGATTTTCTTGGAATTTCTAGTTTCCAGAAGGCACATGTATTTTCATACGATTTTATTTGCTTTCAGAGAAACAGCCAATATTCTGAATGTGTGTCTACCAATTTTCTGAAGGTATCCTATTGTATCTGTATTGATCAATCTGTACATTAGCTTAGTATGAGACTTTTTGTACTGGATGATCTGCTGAATCTATGATATTGAAAAACTGTCGAGTTGTTACGCAAACCTGAGCTTACAGGTTGCTTGAAAATGAAACTCCTGATAGTTTTATGGTAGTCATGATCGATCAGTGTGGCGAATAAATGTGTCGTCTTTTGCCGGATAGCGAATTCGCTTTATTGTGTGATCCATGAGAGATTTAGCTACATCACATAGCCAAGACGTACACATTATCCAAATGAAACTTCGTTTTACAATATTTGGGAAGTTTCACTAACTTTGTAAACAATAAAATGCATCGGCAGTGGAATTTCACAAAAAAAATCTTTACTATCATTCCAATGATCTCGATCCGGGAAAACAACAGTAAAGAGTACAGTTCGAGGAGAGACTCCAAGAGACTGTCGTGCAATACGAGCAGCTATTTCGTACCGTTTTCGAGTAATGCAAACGTACGATGCAATATTTGTCATGCTCAAGTGCACATCCACTAGCATCTGACAATAACTTTTTTTTGCGTCTCAACGCACAATTGAGACGAATACGTTAATGCGTTCATATTGTTATTTTCGCAAGTCACAGCTCGAAGTTATTTAAGCAACATAAAAACTTTCCATTAGAGTAAGAGATCTGTACTCGAATGACCAGTAACTGTAAACATTGAGATGATGAATTTATTGTTAGAATAAGATTAAAAAGTGTCTGAAATATGCACGCACTCAATACGAAAAACTATAAAAGCCATCGCAAATTTTAAACCAATATCGTTCTCACTCATTCACAACACTCAACTCCTACGGTTTCTGCTTCTACAGGTGGTGGTGATCAACTGTCTTCACTCAATTGGAAATATCTTCATTCTCACATTCTCATCTTGCTTTTGATTTGAAATGGACGCTAGGAATGTTTTGCTGATCTTCTTCATAGCCTCAACGGTATTATCGAATGTACTGGCGAATTCATCTGAAATGAACGATGATGGCGACGTAGAAGGAGCTGAGGTTGAGACGAGTCGAACGAAGCGACAAATTGGATTGGAAATGGCATGCCAGTAAGAGATTTTTTATTTGTTTTAATCATTAACAATACTCATAATTTCTCTCTATTCGTGATCGAAATTAGATCTCGTGACGAGAGAGTAATTTCCTGCTTTGCTAACATCAATTGTTTAAAAAAGTGCAGAAAATGGAGAATATATCTGCGTGATTGTATGAGTTGCATAAACTCTTTCTTAACTCTAATTACGGATAAAATGAAAAAAATGGTAGCTGCATAGAATCTGTCGGATTATGATCGAAATTGAGCAATTCGTGACCTCAGATTGATAGCTCTAAATTCATAAAAATTATTACTCTTACTAAGAAGATTTATATGGATGAAAAATCTAATGAATGAAGCGATTTTATCACTTTCAATGAAGGATTATGTTGGTAGATTAGAGGATGTGAAAACTTCAGATGTTGCTGCCGTCCGATTCCGATAATTCGACCAGTCCCAATCATACCTAGACCGTGTCCTCCAGTTATCGCTTGTCGAGAGATCTGCGTTCGAACTATGCCCATGTGTTGCCCAATGTATGGAGGATTCGGAGGATTCGGTTATGGAGGATTTGGAATGGGAATGATGGGCGGCTTTGGGGGATGTGGTGGTTTTGGTGGTTTCGGTGGTTTTGGTGGTTTCGGTGGCATGGGTGGTTTATACAGAGGTTTAGGTGGTTATGGATATGGACGTAAGAGACGCTCATTGGAACATTTGAGACTTAAACGATTCATCGCCGAACAGGTGCGTGTGTCTCTGATACTTTAGTGATGCATATGATACGGAACGATTATTAGTTTCAAAATTCCACTCAAACATTTTTACGTTTTTAGTTTATCAGATAATTTCACATTCTTGATTACGACCGAACAATGAAATGATCGGAAATGAATTCATTCAGCTGCAGTCTATTTTTGCTGACTAAAATATCGTTTGATCCCAACCACTAAAACACTTTCGCCATATAACTTGTTGGTTTATTTTCATAGGCTTTAGCACAGGCGATTTTGCGTCACTGTATGAAAATTGATACCTTGAATTTTCAAGACTTACTCGGTAACAATGAAATCAGTTATGATCTC